AAGATGTGCCCGCCTGCCGCCGGGCCGAGGGGAGCCGTGTGAGGAGCCGTGCGAGGGGCCGGCCGCCGCCGGCGGGGATGCTCGTGTGGCCGCGCCGGAGGATTTTGTCACCTGTGGCCCTGCCCCCGCCGCCCTGCGGGCGCCTCCCCGAGCCAAGGACACACCTGGGCGCCGCGCACCCGCCTCCCGCCCCCGCCGCCGGCCGCCTCTTCCCCCGCCCGAGCGCCGGGCGAGTGTCGGCGGAGCCGCGGGGCTGCAGGCGGGGCTGAGCGCTCGCTGGGCGGACGAGCGGCCCCGCAGGCTCCGAGCAGCCACCAGCCGAGGGAGGAGGAGGTGGTGGTGGAGGAGGAGGAGGAGAGGGCGAGCGGGGGAGCGGCGGGGGCATGTGGATGTTGGCCGTCGCCTTGCTCCACAGCATCTCGCATGGTGAGCTTCCCCCCCCCCCCAAGCCGCGGGGACCTTTTCCCTCCTCCCGCATCCTCGCCCTCCCCCGGGAAAGGGGAGCGAGGGGGTCGCGGCGGTGCCTGTCGGGGTTTGGACGCGTCGCGCTGGCTTTGGGCTCGCCCTGCGATCGTTTAAACTCGTTTACCCAGCGAAGTGACAGCCCCGCGAGTGAAGCGGCATCTCTGCAAACATCAGAGCGACCTGCGCGGGGAGGTTGGGGGGGGGAGGCACTAAGGGCATCTTCTTCCCCAGTCATCCTCCCCTTACACCCCCCCTCCCCCCCCCCATCTGGCAAAAGGGCATGTTCTTTTGGAAAGGGAGAAATAGCCATCCCTGCGTCGTTTGCCACCCTGCACAGGATGGAAAACTAACGTATTTAGTATTTGGAAGGTCTTAGTTTGTATTATCAGTTTGTCTCCTATGTATTGGAAAGGTTACGTGTGGTAGCTGCATGTGTTATTTCTGCCTGGCTCTAACACTTTGCTATTAATCCTTATATAAATGCATCTTCCAAGAAACTGAAGTTAGAAGTAGGTTTTTGCACTCGTGGAAGGGTATTGGGTACAAGAAATCATTGGGGCAGACATCCAAGGCACGGGGCAAAATTTTGTTTCATGGTTACGAAGCACTGACTTCTTGAGAATTCATTTCTTAATATTAACTACTGAAGACAAGTGAGATCTCGCCAATCCCCCATCACCCCCTCCTCATCTTGTAAAGGTTGTTTAGGGGGATCTGATTATTACTTATGTGAGAAGACTGTAACACTCGAGCTGGACATATACATGCAGGCATTTTGCCATTTTCCCACAAAGCTTTGCCAACTCCCATCAGTCACGACCTGAAACAGCTGCTGATCACTTTGGAAAACTCAGAGTGCAGAGATTTGTCTGTGCCACGGGCTTAAAGTGAGGTCACCAGACTTCTTTTCGTATGTATCTGGAAGAAAATCTAAATACAGAAATAATTAGAAAACCCGTCCTTAGAGGGAAGGTTTTGGTATGTGTATTAAAACTATTTGAAAGACAGAAATTTAGTTCTGTGACAAATGCTAACATGCTATAATTTCAGTTCTAAACTCACAGAAAAACTCCAAACTTAATATGGAAAAATCCCTTAAATTGCTGTGGTTTATCTTATTCTTTAACAGTTGTTGTCATTTGAAGATTCCAGTCTAGAAACTGTATTGAAATTCTGAACTTGTATGGCAGAATGTTTCAAACATGCTGAATCTGGCTTTTTTTCAAAAAGGATGTATTCTGCCAATTAACTTTTTGATCAGTCTTAAACTTGTACCTAGATATGAAAGCTAATACAGTTCAATAATTCAGCATCTAGCATATTCTTTGGGTTATTTTTTTTTTAATAAACCTATTTTGGTAGAATACCTTCTTGAGCCATTTATCGACTTGTAACCAATTAAGCATAACTTCGTATTGTCATATCCACGTCTCTGGCAATAGCAGGGAGACCAAAACAGCAAGAAGTTATTCCCTCAGCATTGCTGTGCAGGAAAGACAGGAGATGTTATGCAAGACAGGTGTATCTCTTTGAGATTTCTAGCTTAACCTTCAGCTAAAAAAAATGCTTAAAGCCCATTGTGTTGTGGTCATATCGTTTCAAAGAAAGAGATAGCAGGAGCAGACAGGCTCCAGATATACACAACAGGAGTGACAGAAGCAGGAAGGAATTCTGTGTGAGAGGAATACGAGGTGGGGAGAGAGGAAACAGTCTGCTCAAGGTAGAGATGAATCAGCAAGGATGTGATAACTGTGTATAAAACAGGATGTATGGAAAGTGCATCCCTGATCGCTCTGGAGACAAACACTGGCATTCTGTGCCCTGTGCCAAGTACCAAAATCCTCCCCTCCCCCAGGACTGTGGCCTGCACACCCTCTTTGTATGCTGAGGTGTGGGGTTATTTTGTCTATAGTTCTGGAAGGACTATTCCAGAATAGCGGAGAAAATGCATTTACAGCCTACTTCCCACTCCACTGAAGCACAGTCCTCTCCAGGAAAGGCAAGTGAGCTCTTTTTACTTGCCCATTTTGTCCCTTGCACGGATGATATTGGTGCTGTTTACTCACTTAACGAGCACTTAAACTCAGAGAAAACCCACCTGTGGTAACTGTTAGTAAATGCAGGCTTGTTAAATGAACCACCATTATCTAAAAATAAGTGTTGGTGGTGAAGAGATCACTTTTGACAGGTGGCTATACTTGAAAAAAAAAAAAATTAAAACCCCAACCAAACCCACAAAACAGTCCCTAAGGAAATGATCAAGAAGTACCACAGCACCAGTCTCTGTTGGACTCAGATCTGCTTCTCTATGGGGAATGGAGTCAGGGGTTTTGCTGCAGATCCAAGAGGTTGACCTTGGGAGATCTACAGCAGCCCTGCTGCCCAAAGCAGAGCCAACTACTACAGCAGGACTGTGTCCTACCAAATTTTGAATAACTCCAAGGATGGACACTCCATAAACTCTCTGGGATACCTGTGCCAGTGTTACACCACCCTCATCACGAAAACAAACACATTTTATTTATATATATGCATACATATATATATATATATATATATATATATATATATAAAATCTTTTAAATAGAGCTGATTGATTCCTCTTTGTGTCTATTGCCTTTTGCCTTTTCACTGAATGCCACTGAGAAGGGTCAGGCTACAGTTTCTTTACACCATCCCATCCAGGATTTTTGATCCTCCTGAGCCTTCTCTTCTCCAGACTAAACAGTCACAGCTCTCTCAGCCTTTCCTCATGCACTGGCTTTTCTAATTTCTTAACCAAGTTTGTGATCCTTTGCTGAACTCACCCCAGTATGTCTTCTTTGTTGGTCTGAGGAGCCCACAACTGGTGCACAGTGCTCCAGATGTGTTGGCATAGGTGATGACAAGACAATTTTGGTTTTTCTCCTTTAATCCCAGTCCAATGTGCTGCTGTCATTCATGTTTACCCAGCCTTTCATTTTAAGGTGAAACCCTTCACTGGACAGGATATCTCATTGCTTCTCTATCACGTTGTTCTTCTCTTCTGCTAAAATCCTCTGTAACACAGCCCTACCAAACTTCTCCCAGGAAGTACTTGGAGTCCTTTTCCACATCCAACCAGCGTATAAATTTCCACTTGTTTGCCAAAGTTACAGTCAAGTCCTTTTCTGCTCTTGTATAAGAATTTCCTCCCCAAAAAATCAAGATCTCCATTAGCTGCCTTCAAATCCTGCCTGTGGGCTTGCTGCTATTTAAAAACTCAGCAACAGTTGGCTGCTGTGGACATTGCTCATCTCGCTTAATTTGAAGTGTTTATGGTGCAATTCGCTGGAGCTTCTCCACATGATACATGGAGAGTGAGGAACAGAGGCTTCCAGGGTGCATTTTCTGTTCTACCTTGGACAGGCACTGAAGGATGGGAGAAATCATCTCTTAAATGTGCTTACTCCTCCCTTTTGATATTAAAGGAGGCACAGGTACCTGGACGAAAGAAAGAGAGCTGTCTGCTTTATAACCTTCTGCATTTCTCTGTGTGACTCCACGACCTGAAAGGCACAGAGAAGGTCTTTGCATTGGTAAAATTTATGTTCTGTACTCAAAAGTAAATGCAAATGCAGTTTGCAAAGTTTCCTCCATAGTTTTCCGTTTCCTTCCTCTGTAATTACAAACAATGATAGGCTGTAGAAAATGCATTATGGAGACAAAATTACTTGTGCAGTGGTGTGTAAGCACAACAGTTTGTTGGTGATCTGAGATAGTGGGTATAAAGTGCGGGCAGACAAGAAAGGGTCAATGAAACAGGGGGATCACAAACAGATTTTTTGAGAGTGGACTTGAAAACGTTGAGTTGCACCAGGTAAGAGGCAGGGCACCACAGGGCTTTGCAGCTGGAACCAGTAGCCAGGTTTGGTGAAAGCTGTAATGAGGGGAATGGCTGTGGGGAGCTGGGTTAGTGTTAGTCTGTCCTTGCAGAGAGAGGCTTGGGATCTCTGAGGTCAACCTTCATAAAAGTCTTTCCAGCATATGTGCTCTAGCCCCATGAGCTGTCAGGAGTCTTTATTTTTGTATATTCCATCCCCTCTCCAACTGGTCCCCCCTCGCCAGAATAGCTGAAGGTTAAAAAGCTTTTAGGCTCTTGCCTCAATGTTTTGTGAAGGTTTCCTCCTCTACTTCCTCAAATGGTTGTGGTCTCACAGAATAGGAACAAGAATTTTATCTGGAGATAATACACAGGCTCCACTTGTCACAAAGGAAGTCTGCATGGCATGAAGGAAAAAACATGTCCTGTACTTCGTGTGTGTCTCTGAGGCAAACGAGGGCGCACCAGAAGGGACGTCGCTGATGCAGACGGGTGAAGGTCTGGCTTTCCTTTGCATTCCTGAGTCTTGGGGCAAGCTGTGAGGGGAACTCACGGCAGCCTGCTGCTGTTCCTGCTGTGTTATCCATGACAACAAGTTGGCAAAGAAAGTATTTCTCACGGCTCTCCCTCTTGCAACCTCCTGGAGGAGCCGACTGGAGCTCATGACGCAAGGGACGCTTGTGGCCAAATCCCCTCGTGGAGTCCACACCCATAACTCAATGGAAGCAGGAAGAGAAGCAGATGGAAGGGCTACTGTGGCCCCACAGGAGCAAATAGAATTTATATCTGTTTCCCTTCCCCATTTTAACTCCCCCCTCCCGTGGTTGGCTGTTGCTTGGCAACCCTGCATCCTTGCTCCACCGCTGCTCTGCGGTGCTGCTGCTCCCCTCTGGCCCCCTCCTCTGCACCAGGGTTGGGAAGAGCCATGCTCTCACGAGCTCCTAGCAGTCTGCAAGCGGAGATATTGTCTCTTCACTGGTGCTTGGAAGCAGGTGGGAGCCACCTGAGGATTCTGTGCATCGCCTTGGGCATGGCCAGCTCTGCTCTTCTGGTGCCTCCCGTCTATTGACTCTGCTCAGGGGGGTATTGGCTCCCAAGAGCTCAATTCTTCTTTTGTTTG